CCCGCCGGCTGTAGGTGGCGGTGGCTGCCCGCGGCTGTCGGCCGGCGTGGAAACACAGAATCCCGGGGGAAAGCCACGCTCCAGCTCGAAACTCCCGAATCCAGCCTGAAACGACAGAATCCCACTCCCTGGAAGAGTCCTGCGGTCCGACAGCCCCAACACTCTTCATCCCCTCGCCGGGGACAGCGGGAGGGCATCCCCCCCCGCAGGGTGGGGGGGGGTGCGATTTTTCCCCCCCCGCAGGCTGGTGGGGATGCAGCCTCGAGCCTCGCGGTTTGCCTGGGGAATGGAGCCATCAGGCAAAGCCTAAAAATACCCTCTGGGGGGGCTGTGCTTCCCCGTTACCTTTCGCCTCCTGTTTCCAAGCTTTCCCCATGATATCTCGGGCGTAGCCGCAACCTTATGTAAGGAGCTGACAGCTCGGGGGTGGGTGGGGGTGCACACACAGGGGCTCAGGCAGCTCCAGGAGCTGAGGGTTTCAGCAAACGAGGGGTTTGAAGATGGGAGCAGCCCCAGGAGAGTGCACCCCAGTCCTGGCATCACCAGTCCTTCCCATGTCCCCATCCTGCTTGGCCTCAAAACGAGCCAAGCTCTACATCCCAGAGAAATCCTATAACCCAGCCTCGCACAAACAGGTTTTTTTGCTGCTGTCCCCACTGCTCCTCCACCCTACTTTGCAGGAGGTGCACCAAGGATACCTGGACTCCCTCACTTAGCTGTGCTCTTCCCCAAAATGGGAGCCCCAACCTTCCCATCACTCACTTCGCCTGGCAGTAAGCCCCGATGACCCAACCTGCTGTGGCAACACTGCAGGGAAAACTCACGGTGACTCCAAAGCACTCCTGCATTCTCCCAGGAAAGGCTCATGCAGGGACACATCCTGGGCACCCAGACTGTCTCCCCACATTGCAGCCCCCCATGGAGCACCAGAGGCTCTGAGATGGCTCATATCTGCTGGAATCTGCAAGGCAGTCATGGGGCTGAGCCCAGGATCCCTGGGGACAGGGGCTGGGCTCCCTGGGGATGCTGTGGGCCAGCTCTGGGTTCCTCAAATGTGGCCATGGAGCAGCTCCAGGCTCCCCAGGGATGCTGCAGGACAGCTCTGGACTCTCCAAAAGCACTGTGGGGCAGCTTAGGCTCATTGGGGTTTGTTGTAGGGCAGCTCTGGGCTCCCCAGGGATGCTGAGGAGCAGGTTGGGGCACCCTGAGGATGGTGTGGGGCAGCTCTGGGCTCCCCAGGGATGCTGAGGAGCAGGTTGAGGCACCCTGAGCATCGTGTGGGGCAGATCTGGGGTCCCCAGGGGTGTCTCTTAGGCAGCTCCAGGGTCTCCAGGGGTGTCTGTTAGGCAGCTCTGGGGTCTCCAGGGATGCTGAGGAGCAGGTTGGGGCACCCTGAGGATGGTGTGGGGCAGATCTGGGGTCCCCAGGG